CCCGGCCCCGCCCGGCCCCGCCCGCGGCGGTTCGTGCCCGGCCGCAGCCCCGGCTCCTCTGGCCGTGTCTGCCACGGCGCAGTAATACACCGCCGCGTCCCCAACACGGGGCCCGGAGAGACAGAGGGTGCTCCAGCGACGGTCTGGCGACACCGACACCTGACCCGCCTTGTCCGGCAGCTCTTTGGAGCCTTTGTGAATGCTCACGAGGAATTCGGGGCCGCGGCCCCGAAGCTGACGGTACCAGTGGATATAGTCATTGGTCCGTATGGTCGGGTGTGAGCAGTTGATGGTGATTTCCGTGCCCTCGGGGGTTTGTGCCAACGGCTCCTGTTGCACCTGGGCTCTGCCTGCAGCCACTGCCAGAGAGACAAAGAAGAAAAATATCAGAATTTCTTTTTGTCCTGTAAGTTGTTTCTCAGAAGAAATCCTGCAGAAGCAGTCAGGGACATACAGAGATGATGAGGAGAAGAGTATCCAGAGGATGTCAACATGTGCAGTAATAGAAATGTCAATCACTAGCGGAGACATGACTGTGTGAATAATAGGCAAAAGAAAGAAAGAAAGACAGAGAGGAAAGGAAGGTGCAGTGATAGTTGGACAAAGAAGAGAGGCGTGAATTCTCTGTGGGAATGTGGGATGGTGTAGAGGGAGGGATGGATGGGAGGATGATTCAGGGACAGAGGTCTGTGAAGAAGCCAGAGGGGACGGCAGCTTCCAGAGACCTGCGCGGCCACCCCAGCCCCAGCCCCGACCCCCACGGTCCCCCGCCGCCAGCCCCGCGCACCGAGCAGCACCGCGGCCAGCGCCGCCAGCCCCGCGCCCCGCCAGCGCCGCATCCCGCCGCTCCGCCGCCCGCGCCTCGCTGCCCCCGCCAGCCCCGGCTCTCGGCTCCGGACGGGCCGCCTCCCCTGCCATCCCCTCCCATTCTCCCTCCTCTGCCCTCCTCCGCCAGCTCCGCCCCGGCCCGGGCTCAGCCCCCTCCTCGCACAGCACCAGCACAAGCAGCGGCACAAATCCCTTTGGCATTGCCAGCCACAGCACACAGCTGGGGGCCAGCCCAGACACCACCCACAAGCCATCGGAAGCACATCCACTCCGGGACTGGCAGCACACGGTCGGCGCCATTCAGGAGCCTCTCTCCCTGCCCACCAGGCAAACCTGCCCCTCCTCACCTCTGCAGCGCTGCTGAGAGCAGCAGCCTCACGGCTGGGGAGGGGGCACGGGGGGCTGCCAGGCGTGCTGAGGCACTGCCAGTGTTGCTTACACTGAGGTCAACTCAGCATCCAAGCTTTTACATCTTGAGGAGGTGCAGAATTTTCATGTGAATGTTCTTATTAAAACCATTATCATTACGTCTATCCTTATTCAAATAATTGTAGACGTTTTGTAGAGGAAAAGCCAATTTAGAGGTAACAAAAATGAACAGTATGTTTTCTGTGGTGTGACGGTGCCTGGGATCACTCTGGATTTGATCTAGATACGGGGCTGGGAATAAGGGTCTCCATCCGCAGCCCTTCACCTGCCCTTTCAGATGGGTGGGGCAGGGCTGTCCCAGCCCCACCCCTCGCAGGCAGCTCTCTGGTGGGGCCCATCTCCCGTTCCTGGGCAGCTGGGAGAGAGGCGTTTGTCCTGGGCAGATGAAGAAGGACAGGGGAGAAGCCACAGACAGGGAGGAGACACGTGCTCCCCGCGGGAACTGCAACGAGCCCAGAGAGCTGAGGACAGCACGGCAAGATGTGAAACCTGAGTGGGGAAGAAGCCCCGGAGCTCCCAAAAGCCCAGCAGTGGGTGTGCAGCAGAGCAGGCCATTGCAGCTGGGGAGGGGGGACTGCCCTGCGAGCTGACCGGGAACAGCCCCTGCCCGTGAGGGAGGCCCCAGAGCCAGGCAATGCTCTGAATGCCATCGGCTGAGGGAGCCACAGGGGCTGCTGCTGGGGGAGGGAGAAACCCAAAGAGAGCATTTCAGGCACTGAAAGATAATATCTCTGCCCTCCTTCTTCCTTTGCTTCCCCTAGAGAGTCGTTTCTGGCAGCTCTGTTATCTCGGGGCTGGGAGGTGGTTTCTGACTCTCTCAGCAAACAAGCAGCATATCTCGTCCTCACTGTCTGCCTGGGCCACCTCCTGGGTAAGTCCTGGCTTTTCATCAGTGCACTCTTCTTCTTCCTCCCAGGAAACACTCAACAGCCTTATCAGGCCCCTGTGGGGAAATACCATTGAATAGAGAAAGATCATTGCAAAGTATCTTCTCAACTTTGCTGTCTTGCATGTGTTCACTCAAGAAGCTCTGATTTTTATAAAGGCAATGGGAAAAGAGAGAAGAGAAACCTCAGACCCCTTCTCCTTCTCTTCTCTCCCCTTCAGTCCACCTCCCTCTCCTTCTCTCTTCTAATCCACCTGCTGCCACCACAGGACATCTCAGCTGTCTCTGCAGTACCACATTTCTCCCTCTCTGAAGAAAATCAGCAGTTCCTGCCAAAGTTGGCCCAGTTCAAGCTCTCATCTCACTGACTTTACACATGGACTGTGTCCCATTCTGCCTCGAGGCTGCCCAAATATCTGCCATGGTTTCATTTTCTTCTGGCTGTCAAAAGAGACAGGTCTCCCTCTTTGCAAGCTCAGAATTGTGTGTACTCAGGGAGCGAGGAACCCTCAGAGGTAAGAGGGATGGATGAATCTTTTTGCTGTTCCTCCAAAAGCTCCTCAACCTGCTGGAGATGTGCTGGTTCCAGCACAAAAGCTAAGGTAAGACAGGCTGTTCCCTGGTCCTTTGAGTAGGAGGAGCAAGAAGACAGAGACAGCAAAGGTCTCCTCAGGATCTTCCTGAGCTCAGAGCTCTGAGATCCTGCCCAAAAGGAGTCTCATCTGACTGTCTCCAGTAGGGAGTCTCCATCACTGTACAGGGCAGGCAGCTTTCTCCACCAGGGTTTAGCATCCAGTTTGCTTTATCTTGCCATAGTATTTCCCTGTGCAGCTGCTGACCTTCACTTTCTTCCAGGCACCATGGGGCAGATCGTTGTCACCCAGGAAGATGGAGAAGTCCTGGTGAAGCAGAAAGGCCTCTTCCAGACCACCTGTACATACCAGACCAATTACTTCAATGGATTGTTGTGGTACCAGCAGAGGAAAGGACAAGCCCCACAGCTGCTCTCGTCTCAGGCGGGGGCCGGCCAGAGGCAGAGCGGCCGTATCAGCACGGAGCTGAACACCACGGGGAAATACAGTGTCCTGCAGGTGGAGGAAGTGGAGGTCTCTGACAGTGCCTTGTACCTCTGTGCTGTGCGAGACACCCTGGTGCAGGGAGCTCCCTGGGCTGTGCAACAAGCCAGGGGAGGGAGGGGATGTGTCTGTGCAAGGCTGAGCTTGGGGAAAGGGACCCTCCGCTGTCCCCTGGCAGCGCTGCTTCCCCTGTACACCCAGAGATCTGCAGGCTGAGCCCCTCTTCCAGGAGAGGAGAGTGTCAGTGGTCGAGGGGAAGGAGAAAGAGGTGAAACAATTTCCAGATTGCTCATTGTCACTTATGGGTTCCGTGGTTCTTCTTCCCAACATCTCCAGGGAGTTGTTGGGCAATTCAGGAGGCTGAGACCACTTCTGCAACGATTCCTTGTGCTGCTCTTGGCTTTCTGTTTTTCCCTGCTGCCCGTGGCTTCTCCAGGATTTCCACTGGGCTTGTCCCTTAGAGTACCTGCTCTGGGTTGTGTCCCTCAGAGTTCCAAGTTCAAAGTAGGGTGAAAAACATAAATAAGACGTTATCTGCAATGCTCCTTCCTTGAATTGCATGACTCCAACAATTTCTGAAAGTGCTCAGAAGTGCCCAATGAAAACGTCCAGTTGCTGTGTGGCAGAGGAGAAGTGGAGGAGAGAGCAGGAAGTTGGGCTGCCTTTTATACCTGCCCTTCACTGCCACACAACCAGGGGCAGCCTCTGCAGAGCTAACAATTTCCCCACAAGCTCATCTTGCATGCCAACCACCACACCGAGTGCTATGGGCTGTGCTCTCATGCCCTGCACTGCTGCCTTTACATTCCCATATTTGTGCCACGCCCATTCCCCAGTGAGGGCTTAGCCCTGGGATGAAAGGCCCCAGGATTTTGCAGCAGGAATGCAGCAGTGCAGGCACATGACTCATCTCCAGTGCTGGATGGATCCAGAGCAGGAGAGGGATGCATCAGCCTGGGTGACTCTGGTGGAGACACTTGAGGTGTCATCCTCAGGAAGAAGTTCTGCCACCCCCAACTGGACACTCATAGGCTGTTGTGCATGGGATGATGTCCCCTTGCCTTGTCTTTCTCTCTCTCCTCAGCTCACCTCGATGCTCACTTGTGGTTGCCTCCCCATGGGTGTGCACTGAGATGATGGTTTTGATTCTGTCCTGCCTAACGCTGCCCTCAGGAAAGTGCTCTGCACTATTTTGTCTCATCTCCACTTTGTGCAGTCTCTGAGTAAACACAGACTGCCCTGTGCTTGCCTGGCACCTTGTCCTTCCTCTCGATCCTCCAGCTCTGCTGCTTTTGACCTCAGGTGTCCTCAGCAGAGTCCACGGCTGACTGTGTGTTCCTGCCTTGTGTGCTCTTGGAGCAGCCGGGTTGGCACGGACACATGTGGGGGCACAAATCTGTGTGTGATTCCACACTGGTGTGTACGAGCCTGTGGGTGTGTGTCCGTGTTTGTCTGTCTGTCTGTCTATGTGTGTGCATGTGTGTGTGTGTCTGTCTGTGTATGTGTGTCCCTGTGTGTCCCTGTGTGTCCATGTGTGTCCCTCTGTAACAGACAGATAACATACAAATGCCAAAAATTATGTTTTGCCTTTGTTTCTGCCTGTCAAAAACTTCCTACCAAAAATTGTGTCAGTTTTCCACCCGAAGTTCTCACGAAAATTTTTACACTGGAATTTTCCTGCCAAAAGATCCTGTTATTGTTCATGGTTATCATATCTCTGCAAACATCTGAATAAGGCTACGTGCCAAGAAACCACACACAACCTCCTTTGAACACTATAAAAGATGAGGAAAAGTTTGGGAAAAGCAGGGGAAAGAGGAGTAGGAAAGAGAATTGGCTATAGCAGCTAAAGATCTCTCCTCCGCCTCGCCCTTATCGTTTCTTCTGCCACCGTAAGTGAGCTGCCTGCCATCACCAGAGACTGGACTTCTGCCGTCTTGAAGTGGACTGAGATCCACCGTGCCACCCACGTGAGTTTCTCCACCCTGACCATATTTCTGAGGGCCAAGAGGTGCAGCTGGACCGAGACCTCTGCACAGCCTGGGACACGGCCCGGTGTGAGTGGCGGCAAGGCCCACAGCCTGGCTGCATTCCAGAGAACTAAGACCCCCTGCAGCTAAAGAGATAACATTGAAAGCGGCAGAGACAGAGAAAAAAAAGGCAGAAAACTGCTTCTCTCTCTCTCTCTCTCCACCCCCACCCCACAGACCAGTTCGACGGAAAGGTAGATTTTGGTGGTATCTTTTCTCTGCTTCTAAAAGTAATCTTAGCATTTTCCAACCTTTTCTTATTTTTTCCTCTTTCTCTTTGCATCTCTTAGCAATTAATAAAAAACAGTTTTGGTATCAACAGATAACTTGTATGAGTTTTAATTTTGCTCAAGGGAATATTCAAATCCAAAAACTCTTTCTGCAATATTTAAGCAGATCGTAACACCCTCATGGGAAGTTCATTTGCTGCCTATTCCAGGGATACCGTCCTCTCCGCTGGCCCTGAACTCCACAGAGCAGCAGGTTGCCAGGGTCAGAAGGCGCGTGGGTGCAGCTGAGTGCTGACGGCACCTGCCCCCTACAGCTGTGTCCAGGGAAGAGGCAGAGAAATGCAGGTTCTGCCTCCGGAGCCCTTCTCTTCCTGTCCGTCCACAGCTCTCGCTCCGCTGCTGCTGATTTCGGCCCAACAAGGCCGGTTTCACTGTCTGTCTGTCTGTCCCTTTTCCACACTGCGGGCAAGGTCAGAATTCTCCCCCTATCCAAACAAAAGATCCTCATGAACCAGAGAATCTCAGTGCCTGCCCGGAACGGATCAGAGTATCCAGGAGACGATTTCTCAGGAGAAGTCAGGGACACACATTGCAGCTGACTGGAGTATGCCCAGACCTGTGCTGTGCTGTGTATGTCACTTGGCACCCAGACATTCGGTCACAAGCCTGTGCTTTATGTAGGAGTGGAACGCCCTGTTTTCAAAGGGGCGCTACTTTGCTCTGCTGTAGGAACAATTAACTGAGTTGTGTATTTCTAAGAAAATCCCCTGAAAGCTCCAAAGACGAGGGTGTCAGTGAGTCTGAGCTCAGGTGGGATTTACAGCATGTGACAAAGCCCTGCTGGCCCCGGCCGGCGCTGTGCCCCCGGCCCCGCCCGGCCCCGCCCGCGGCGGTTCGTGCCCGGCCGCAGCCCCGGCTCCTCTGGCCGTGTCTGCCATGGCGCAGTAATACACCGCCGCGTCCCCAACACGGGGCCCGGAGAGACAGAGGGTGCTCCAGCGACGGTCTGGCGACACTGACAGCCACCCAGGAGGGTCCGGCATCTCTCTGAACCCTTTCTGACCGCTCATGAGGAGTGTGGGTTCTCGGCCAGGGAGCTGACGGTACCAGTAGATGTACTCATTGAACTGGATTTTGGGGTGGGAGCAGTTGATAGATATACCGATGCCCTTGATGGTCTCTGTCGATGGGTCCTGCAGTACCTGGACTCTGCCCACAGCCACTGCTGGGAAGAAAAAAACAGAAAAACCGTCAAAACGTGTTTTCTGATCAGCCCTCCCCCCTGTTTCTCAGAAAAAACTCCGCAGAAACAGTCAGGAACACACAGAGATGATGACGAGCAGTGTTTCCAGAGGATGTCAACACATGCGGTGAGGGCGGTGTCCATCGATCGTTAGCGGAGAGAGGAATGTGTGAAGGAAACGTGGAGGGGTGAGGTCACTGCAGCAAAAAAAATTTGAGAAAGAAAGAAAAGACAGAAAGAAAGTAGCAAGTGGGAAGGACTGACTGCATGAGTTGTACGGAAAAACACAAGGGAAAGAAAAGAACCAGGGAGAGTCCAAGAAATCATATTGATATTTCTGAGGCAATATGGATGGCACAGAGAGAGGGATGGACTGCACGATGATTCAGGGACAGAGGTCCGTGAAGCAGCCAGAGGGGACGGCAGCCTCGAGGGACCCCAGCCCCGGCCCCCACGGTCCCAGCCCCGTGCACCGAGCAGCACAGCGGCCAGCGCCCCAGCCCCGCGCCCTGCCAGTGCCGCATCCCGCCGCTTCCCAACCTGCTGTCCCGTGGGTCACTCCTCCACGGGGTCAGTCCTTCACGGATGAGCTGTACCAGCGTGGGTCCCCCACGGGGGCCACAGGTCCTACCCAGGGAAAACCTGCTCCAGCGTGGGCTTCCCTCTCCACGGGCTGCAGGTCTCCAGCAGGACCCTGCTCCATCTTGGGCCTCCCACAGGGTCACAGCCTCCTTCCTCCATCCACCTGCTCCAGCATGGGCTCTTCCATGGGAGTTTCTGCTCCCCGATGGTCCTACATGGGCTGCAGGGGCACAGCTGCTCCACCACGGTCTGCACCACAGGCTGCAGGGGCCACAGCTCCGGCACCTGGAGCACTCCTCCCCCTCCTTCTGCAATGCCCTTGGTGTCTACTTTGTTGTTCCCACGTTCTCACTCCGCTCTTCCCTGGCTGGATTTCCTTCTGCACAACAAACTTCTGTTGCTAAATATGTTATCCCAAAGGCATTGCAATTGCTCCTGGTAGGCTTGGCCTTGGCCAGCGGGAGGAAGCCCATCCTGGAGCCATCTGGCATTGGCTCCATGGGACAGGGGAAGCTTCTAGCAGCTTCTGAGAGAAGCCACCCTTGTACCCCCCTCTGCAACCAAAACCCAGGCACAGAAACCCACTACAGGGGGATAAAGGTCCTTGTGGGCTGAAGTCCAAAACAGTCGCCAGAACTCTGCCTTTCCCTCTGCAAGACACAGGGGCTGTTCTTCCTCTCACAGTGCAGTGACCTCAGGGCCGTGTCCCTTTCCTTCAGTCCCCGTTTGGGACAACGTCTCTGTGGCTGCTTCACTCAGCACCTGGTCGATGGGCTGCACAGGTACATTGGGCAGGGGCTTGGACAGGAGAGGGAGCTGTGTCCCACCCAACACCCCCAGCACTGCACTGGAAGCAGATCCACACAGGTGGATACATGAGGGGGGCAGGAACCCTCAGTCGTTCTGCCTGTCCATGAAACCAACGTCATCCTTTTGAGGTCTCCAGCACTGGGGAGAGCAGGTGTGTGCTGGTCTGGAGCAGTGTGTGAGTGTGGTGAGGGTGGAGGGGCTGCCAGCCCTGCTGAGGCACTGCCAGCATTTGATCCTGAATTGAGGGGAAGATGCAAATTTTGGTGAAACCGTCCTTGTTGGGCCCTGCAATTGGCAGCCACCTCCAGCAGAGCAGGGTCCCATCATGCATGATGGGTACTTGGGAAGCCAAACACCAGTACAACGAATTTCCCTCCCTTTCTCCTTCTTCCCCCAAAGCTTTAAATACCAAGCATGATGTCATATGATCTGGCATATCCCTTTGCTCAGTGTCAGTCACCTATCCTGGCTCTGGCTCCTCCCAACATCCCATGCACCCCCAACTTTCTTCCCAGTGTGGCACCAGGAAAAGCAGAAAAAGCCTTTGCTCTGTATAAGCTCAGCAATAACAAAAAACATCTCTGTATTATCAACCCTGGCTTAAGCACAAATCCAAAAAATGGCCCCATAACAACCACTGTGAAGAAAGTTCCCTCTACCCAGGCCAAAACCAGCACATGCACTCAGGCTCCTCCTGAATCTGGGCAAATGCTGCTCTGTGTTGCTCACGGGCAGAGCAGTGGAGTGTTCCCAGTGTAACCAGCACATTTCACTTGTTGAGTTACACACAAGGACACACACACACAGAGGCTCAGGCACAGTGGTGTGGACTCATGCACAAATTTGTGCTCCCACAGGATTTCATGTGGAACCCAGCTGCACACAAGTGCACACAAACCAGGAACCCACGTAGGAAAACAACCAACCATGGACTCTGCTGAGGACACCTGGGGACAACACTGCAGGGCTGGGAAGGACAAGGCTCCAGGCAAGCCCATGGCACTGTTTGTGTGCTCAGAGACTGACCAGTGTGGCAGAAGTCAGAAGAGCCCCAAATGCTTTCCTGAGGGCAGTGTTAGGCAGGACGGGGTCAAAGCAGCCACCCAAAGCACACACATAGAGAAGCAACAACCAGTGACCATTGGGATGAGCTGAGGAGGGAGGGAAAGGGAATGACATGGCCCATCCTCATGCCCAGGAGTCCTTGGGTATCCACAGAGGATTGCTGCAGGTTCTTCTTGAAAACAGTACTTCAAACAAACCCATTAGAGTGATCCAGACTGACACATCATTGCCTGCTCTGGATCCATCCAGCCCTGGAGCTAAATCTACTCCCGACATTTACGACTCCATTGCCCTGGAAATCCTGGAACATTTCATCCCAAAAATCACAAGAAGCCTTCACTGAGGCATGGGCATGGAAGAAATCTGGAAACAAAATGGCAGCAGTTTGGAAACCAAAGCACAGCCTGTACCATCAGCTGTGATGGTTTGCATTCAAGAGGAGCTTGTGGGGAAACTGTTACCTCTGCAAAGGCTGCCCCTGGTCCTTGGGCAGTGAAGGGCAGGTAGAAAAGGCAACCCCAGCCCCTGCTGTCTCATCCACTTCTCTTATCTCCTTCTGCTTGGGAACCAGGTGAGTCTGAAGCCCCTTCTCCTCCTCTTCCACAGTGAGATCTCCACCTGTGGGACATCTCAGCTGATTCTGACCGTGTCCTGTCCCGTGGTTTTGTTCTTCTTGTCATGACAGAGGGAAATGAGGAGAAAGTCTCACTGGAGGGTGGTTGGGATGTAACTGAGAGGACTATTGGTTTAGGAATATAGGATAGAGCTTCTCTGTGGCAGCCTGATCATAATAGGGAAATGAGGAAGGGTGTGTGTTCCCTGGCCGAACCTCCAGCTCCCCACTGCTCCACCTCCATTGCTGTTGGCAGCATCCTCAGCTCTCAGGGAGTGCCCATCAGCTCTGGGGGCTGTGACCTCTCTGGCCTTTCCAGACCCTACTGGTGCAGAAGGTCCCTCCCCTGAAGAAGATACTGGGAAAGCCCCAGGGAGACACCTCAGGGGACTCAGAACATGGTGCTGGGCTGAGTGAGGATGGACATTTTTCCATGTTGGTACCAGGAGAGGTGAATGGCTTTGCCTTTCCCTTTTCTTTGTTTGCTTTGCTTCCCCTTGGCAGCAAGGTCCCACCATGGTCAGCCTGGTGGGGACCATCTGTCTCCTCTCCCTCTAAGGGACAGGCAGACAGGCACTGTGCAGGAACTTCTCCTCCACCAAGGAGGACAGACTCTCAGATGCCCCCGGGCTCCCTGCACTGCTGTCCTCCACATGCAGGGATGTCCTTTCCCTCTTTTGACTCCTCACATCTTTCTGCTGAATTCAAGCCTGGCCTCCGTGTTGGCTTTCCCACCCCTGCAGACACTCTCCAAGCTGTCAAAGTGGAAAGGAGTTTCTCAGCAGTGGAAGTGGGTGATGGCACAAGGAGAGCCTTCTCCACTGACAGAGGAATGGGAGGTTGGGACAGCCTGCAATGGCTCCTCTGTTGAGGGGAACCATCCTTTGGCTGCTGAATGAGTCAAGGCTGGAAATTGCAGCAAAGCAGGGGAGGGCAGCTGAGGGCTGTCACAGCGAGTGGGGACAGGGAGACAGTGAAATACTGTGGGAGGTGACATCCCTGTGACACTGAACCTACAGGAGAACGGGCACATCAGCAAGGACAAGGATTGTGGGATTGCACTTCCCAGTAGAGCTGCAGGTGGGTGCAGAGCTCTTCACTGCTTCCTTGCTCCCCACAGAGGGTTTGTGCTGAGGAGTTGGCTGCCAGTCTGGGGGAGAGGATGCTGTAACATGTACATCTCATCCCTTGTGACTGGTGAAACCTTCTCTTGGCAGCCACTACATGTCTTATGACATGGCCCATCCTCATGCCCAGGAGTCCTTAGGTAGCCATGGAGGATTGCTGCAGCTTCTTCTTGAAAACAGCACTTCAAACAAGCCCACCAGTGTGATCCAGACTGACACATCACTTGCCTGCTCCGGATCCATTCAGTCCTGGAGCTGAGTGTGCTCCTGACATTTACGACTCCATTGCCCTGGAAATCCTGGAACATTTCATCCCAAAAATCACAAGAAGCCTTCACTGAGGCATGGGCATGGAAGAAATCTGGAAACGAAATGGCAGCAGTTTGGAAACCAAAGCACAGTCTGTACCATCAGCTGTGATGGTTTGCATTCAAGAGGAGCTTGTGAAGAAACTGTTACCTCTGCAAAGGCTGCCCCTGGTACTGCGGTAGTGAAGGGCAGGTAGAAAAGGCAGCCCCAGCCCCTGCTGTCTCATCCACTTCTCTTATCTCCTTCTGCTTAGGAACCAGGTGAGTCTGAAGCCCCTTTTGATCGTGGAGTAGTTTATACAGCACCTAGACCTGCTGTTTGCAAACAGAGGAGGGTTGGTGAGAGATGTGCTGATCAAAGGCCATCTGGAGCACAGCGACCATGAAATGTTAGAGTTTTCCATACTTGGGGAAATAAGGGGGAGCATCAACCAAACCTGTACCCTCGACTTCTGGAGGTTGGACTTGGGCCTGTTGAGGACACCGATTCGGAAAGCCCCTTGGAAAGCAGCCCTTTGAAACAAGGGGGCCCAGGAAGGCGGGACATGGTTTGAGAAAGAAATCTTGGAGGTGCAGGAGCGGCCCCTGCTGGCCCCGGCCGGCGCTGTGCCCCCGGCCCCGCCCGGCCCCGCCCGCGGCGGTTCGTGCCCGGCCGCAGCCCCGGCTCCTCTGGCCGTGTCTCCCACGGCGCAGTAATACACCGCCGCGTCCCCAACACGGGGCCCGGAGAGACAGAGGGTGCTCCAGCGACGGTCTGGCGACACCGACACCTGACCCGCCTTGTCCGGCAGATCTCTGGAGCCTTTGTGAATGCTCACGAGGAATTCGGGGCCGCGGCCCCGGAGCTGACGGTACCAGTGGATATAGTCACTGGTCCGTATGGTCGGGTGTGAGCAGTTGATGGTGATTTCGGTGCCCTCGGGGGTTTGTGCCAACGGCTCCTGTTGCACCTGGGCTCTGCCTGCAGCCACTGCCAGAGAGACAAAGAAGAAAAATATCAGAATTTCTTTTTGTCCTGTGAGTTGTTTCTCAGAAGAAATCCTGCAGAAGCAGTCAGGGACATACAGAGATGATGAGGAGAAGAGTATCCAGAAGATGTCAACATGTGCAGTAATAGAAATGTCAATCACTAGCGGAGACATGAATGTGTGAATAATAGGCAAAAGAAAGAAAGAAAGACAGAGAGGAAAGGAAGGTGCAGTGATAGTTGGACAAAGAAGAGAGGCGTGAATTCTCTGAGGAAATGTGGGATGGTGTAGAGGGAGGGATGGATGGGAGGATGATTCAAGGACAGAGGTCTGTGAAGAAGCCAGAGGGGACGGCAGCTTCCAGAGACCTGCGTAGCCACTCCAGCCCCAGCCCCGACCCCCACGGTCCCCCGCCGCCAGCCCCGCGCACCGAGCAGCACCGCGGCCAGCGCCGCCAGCCCCGCGCCCCGCCAGCGCCGCATCCCGCCGCTCCGCCGCCCGCGCCTCGCTGCCCCCGCCAGCCCCGGCTCTCGGCTCCGGACGGGCCGCCTCCCCTCCCCTCCCCTCCCATTCTCCCTCCTCTGCCCTCCTCCGCCAGCTCCGCCCCGGCCCGGGCTCAGCCCCCTCCTCGCACAGCACCAGCACAAGCAGCGGCACAAATCCCTTTGGCATTGCCAGCCACAGCACACAGCTGGGGGCCAGCCCAGACACCACCCACACGCCATCGGAAGCACATCCACTCCGGGACTGGCAGCACACGGTCGGCGCCATTCAGGAGCCTCTCTCCCTGCCCACCAGGCAAACCTGCTCCTCCTCACCTCTGCAGCGCTGCTGAGAGCAGCAGCCTCACGGCTGGGGAGGGGGCATGGGGGGCTGCCAGGCGTGCTGAGGCACTGCCAGTGTTGCTTACACTGAGGTCAACTCAGCATCCAAGCTGCAGTGAAACCGGCCTTGTTGGGCCGAAATCAGCAGCAGCGGAGCGAGAGCTGTGGACGGACAGGAAGAGAAGGGCTCCGGAGGCAGAACCTGCATTTCTCTGCCTCTTCCCTGGACACAGCTGTAGGGGGCAGGTGCCGTCAGCACGCAGCTGCACCCACGCGCCTTCTGACCCTGACAAACTGCTGCTCTGTGGAGTTCAGGGCCAGAGCAGAGGACGGTATCCCTGGAATAGGCAGCAAATGAACTTCCCATGAGGGACACACATGGACGGACACACACACACACTCACACCCACAGGCTCGTGCACACCAGTGTGGAATCACACACAGATTTGTGCCCCCACATGTGTCCGTGCAAACGCAGCTGCTCCAAGAGCACACAAGGCAGGAACACACAGTCAGCCGTGGACTCTGCTGAGGACACCTGAGGTCAAAAGCAGCAGAGCTGGAGGATCGAGAGGAAGGACAAGGTGCCAGGCAAGCACAGGGCAGTCTGTGTTTACTCAGAGACTGCACAAAGTGGAGATGAGACAAAATAGTGCAGAGCACTTTCCTGAGGGCAGCGTTAGGCAGGACAGAATCAAAACCATCATCTCAGTGCACACCCATGGGGAGGCAACCACAAGTGAGCATCGGGGTGAGCTGAGGAGAGAGAGAAAGACAAGGCAAGGGGACATCATCCCATGCACAACAGCCTATGAGTGTCCAGTTGGGGGTGGCAGAACTTCTTCCTGAGGATGACACCTCAAGTGTCTCCACCAGAGTCACTCAGGCTGATGCATCACTCTCCTGCTCTGGATCCATCCAGCACTGGAGATGAGTCATGTGCCTGCACTGCTGCATTCCTGCTGCAAAATCCTGGGGCCTTTCATCCCAGGGCTAAGCCCTCACTGGGGAATGGGCATGGCACAAATATGGGAATGTAAAGGCAGCAGTGCAGGGCATGAGAGCACAGCCCATAGCACTCGGTGTGGTGGTTGGCATGCAAGATGAGCTTGTGAGGAAATTGTTAGCTCTGCAGAGGCTGCCCCTGGTTGTGTGGCAGTGAAGGGCAGGTATAAAAGGCAGCCCAACTTCCTGCTCTCTCCTCCACTTCTCCTCTGCCACACAGCAACTGGACGTTTTCATTGGGCACTTCTGAGCACTTTCAGAAATTGTTGGAGTCATGCAATTCAAGGAAGGAGCATTGCAGATAACGTCTTATTTATGTTTTTCACCCTACTTTGAACTCGGAACTCTGAGGGACACAACCCAGAGCAGGTACTCTAAGGGACAAGCCCAGTGGAAACCCTGGAGAAGCCACAGGCAGCAGGGAAAAGCAGAAAGCCAAGAGCAGCACAAGGAATCGTTGCAGAAGTGGTCTCAGCCTCCTGAATTGCCCAACAACTCCCTGGAGATGTTGGGAAGAAGAACCACGGAACCCATAAGTGACAATGAGCAATCTGGAAATTGTTTCACCTCTTTCTCCTTCCCCTCGACCACTGACACTCTCCTCTCCTGGAAGAGGGGCTCAGCCTGCAGATCTCTGGGTGTACAGGGGAAGCAGCGCTGCCAGGGGACAGCGGAGGGTCCCTTTCCCCAAGCTCAGCCTTGCACAGACACATCCCCTCCCTCCCCTGGCTTGTTGCACAGCCCAGGGAGCTCCCTGCACCAGGGTGTCTCGCACAGCACAGAGGTACAAGGCACTGTCAGAGACCTCCACTTCCTCCACCTGCAGGACACTGTATTTCCCCGTGGTGTTCAGCTCCGTGCTGATACGGCCGCTCTGCCTCTGGCCGGCCCCCGCCTGAGACGAGAGCAGCTGTGGGGCTTGTCCTTTCCTCTGCTGGTACCACAACAATCCATTGAAGTAATTGGTCTGGTATGTACAGGTGGTCTGGAAGAGGCCTTTCTGCTTCACCAGGACTTCTCCATCTTCCTGGGTGACAACGATCTGCCCCATGGTGCCTGGAAGAAAGTGAAGGTCAGCAGCTGCACAGGGAAATACTATGGCAAGATAAAGCAAACTGGATGCTAAACCCTGGTGGAGAAAGCTGCCTGCCCTGTAGGGAAGTCCTGAGACCTGGAGACAGTCAGGTGAGAGTGATTTTGAAAGTGGTTCAGAGCTCTTATCACAGCACGAATCTGAGGAGAGCTGGGCTGTGTCCATGTTCTTGCTCCTCCTGCTCAGAGGAGCAGGGAACAGCCTGTCACGCCTGAACTTTGTGTGCTGGAACCAGCTCCTCACTCCCTGAGGACACAGAATGTTGAGCTTGGAAAGAGGGAGCCCTGGCTGTGTTGCCAAGTGGAGAAAACTGGAAGCTTGTGGCAGCCAGGAGGCAAAATGGGACACCCCGTTGATGTCAGAGAAATGAGAGCTTTAAAGTGCCTGGGGCAGATTTGACAGGATCTGCCAATATGCATCAAAAAAGGAGGGATGTGGGACTGCAAAGAGGAGATCTCCTGTGGGGATAGCAGGGGAATCCAAAGAAAGAGGCAGAGGGAGATGGTTTGAAGGAGAGAGAAGAGACAGAGACGGGTTCTGAGGTTTCCCTTCTCTTTCTTCCCTTTCCCTTTAAAATGATAAAGGATTCTGGAGCAAACACAGGCAAACCGGCAAATATGAGGAGACAATTGACAGCATTTTCCCTCTATTCAATTCAGTAGTTTTTTTTCCCACGGGCTCCTGATAAAGCTGTTGAGGATTTCCTGGGGGGAGAAGAAAGCTGACTGATGAAAAACCAGGACTTACCCAGGAGGTGGCCCAGGCAGACAGTGAGGATGAGACAGCCGAGGTTCATGCTGAGACCAACCTGCTGTTTGCTGAGAGAGTCAGAAACCACCTCCCAGCCCCGAGATAACAGAGCTGCCAGAACCGACTCTCTAGGGGGAGCAAAAGGAAGAAGGAGGGCAGAGATATTGTCTTTCAGTGCCTGAAATGCTCTCTTTGGGTTTCTCCCTCCCCCAGCAGCAGCCCCTGTGGCTCCCTCAGCCGATGGCATTCTGAGCATTGCCTGGCTCTGGGGCCTCCCTCACGGGCAGGGGCTGTTCCCGGTCAGCTCGCAGGGCAGTCCCCCCTCCCCAGCTGCAATGGCCTGCTCTGCTGCACACCCACTGCTGGGCTTTTGGGAGCTCCGGGGCTTCTTCCCCACTCAGGTTTCACATCTTGCCGTGCTGTCCTCAGCTCTCTGGGCTCGTTGCAGTTCCCTCGGGGAGCACGTGTCTCCTCCCTGTCTGTGGCTTCTCCCCTGTCCT